AGAGAGAGTTTGTAAGAAGACTCAAATCAAATCAAAACGCACCGACTACTAGGGCAATATTTTGAAAATAGTCAATGGTCAGTTTATGGTATTTAAATGACACAAGGTGTAGATAGGTCAGTGATCAGTTTGCAAATCTCCCCAGTTTTATTTTGAAATCCTGGTTTAATTTAGATGATGAGTTTGTAGTATCTAAGAGTGCATTTATGCTAATTGATGACGAGTTACCGTGTACCGGATATTAAGTCATGTGTTATCGTATTTTAGATAATTTAAACTAAGATATATATACAATACTTATAGTATTTAAGTATTTGTTGTACTAGATTAAATCAATTAACAAAAACACTTAATAAATTTTATCGATCGCGACAGAATGTTATCTAGTAAACAATAGATATATAACGCCACATCTCTCGACCTGAAAGCAAAGTAAATAAATTACAGATATCCTATATATTTAAGTTTGTATTCTTCTCATAATTCTTGTTCTTATAGTATTGAGTTTTGCATTACTATGCAGAGTATTTAACAAGTTATGACCATTTCTATTCCGAAATCCCTATGAAATCAACACCATAATATATAAAGAAGTAATGCAAAAACAAATATTTATTTTAAATAATAAATTAAACAATATATTGTAGTTTTTAAATTACGTTTAAATAAAATCATTAACAAAAATTTGTATACAGGGTGAACTACAAAACAAAATTAAGATTTTCTCTTTTTTTGTAAATGGATCACTCATATAAATTTTATATTTTTGAAATATTGTATTTACGATACTCTTTTATTTTTATATAGAATAGTAGAGTAGAGTAGAATAGAATATTTAACTACATAACGGATATAAAATATTGTTTGTGGCAAGTCAAAAAAATATACATAGTATTAAAAAAGGGATATATAAAACGTAACTTAAATATATACAAACAAGAACACATATTAAACAGAAAAACATTTATGGCAAAGTTACGGTAAGCAGTTCAGTGGAGGTTCTGCAATGAGTCATGTATTCTTCTGAGCAGTAAAAACAATGTTTTAGAAGATATTTTTTTATAACTTTATTCATATATGTCTGTTTGAACTGCATTTGAAATAGTGGACCAATATAAAACTTGAACAAAAATAAATCCATACCTGTGTATAGAAATTGTATAAAATATCGTTCAACTATCTGTCTCGCAACAATGTTGTTTGCGTAAAGGAAGCGATAATAGTTCAGGAAATGAAGCTCGAAAAAAATTAAAACTTCGCAATTTTTTTAGTCCTGCATGGATTGAGTTGAAATTTTAACAGAAGGTAGGTGATAGCCCAAGGATCAAAATCTATATCGAAACGAAGTGCGCTGAAGGGTTTTAGGGGTGAAAACTACCCCTAGTTGTCAAAAATTATAAAATAACATAGTAAACCTGAATATGGGTAAGATTTGGTTTGAATTAGTTAAATAATGATTATTTTATACTTTTGAATAGAGTTTCATCATATGTCAACCCTTAAAAAGAAACCCTTGTTAGAGATTAATGTAAAAAAATTACTAATTCTAAAAAAATGATTTCGCCTTGGATCGATTTGGATAAAAATTTGGATTTAAGCTCAATTCACCCACTGCTTTATAGTTTATGTCATGTCGACGAACCCTGATTGTTCTTAGGGGTGAAAACTACCCCTAATTGTCAAAAATTATAAAATAACATATTAAACCTGAATATGGTTAAAATTTGATTTGAATTAATTAAATAATGATAGTTTCGTGCTTTTGAATGAAGTTCCATCATATTTCAACACTTAAAAAGCGACCCTTGTTAGAGATTAATGTAAAAAAAGTAGTAATGCGAAGAAAATGATTTCGCCTTGGAACGATTTGCATAAAAATTTGGAATTAAGCTCAACTCACCCTCTGCTTTATAGTTTATATCATTCCGATAAACCCTGATTGTTTTTAGGGGTGAAAACTACCCTCAATTTACAAAAATTGTAAAATATCATTACAAATCTTAAGATGAGTGAAATTTGGTTTGGATTAGTTAAATAGTGATTTTTTTATACTTTAAAATACAATTTCATACATTTTCAACCCTTAAAAATCAATTGTTAGGAGTGCTACAGGTGAAAACAATTTTTTGCCAAAATTTTGCAACTTTTCAACTTTTGAAAATCACCGTTTACAACGTTGAAGTTTTTATAAAGTAATTTAATAGATATAAATTGAAAAAGTAGAATTAAATACAAAAAAATTAATCAACATAAAAAGGCACCATATATTCTTATATATTTACATAAATAGTTGAAAATATTTACATTTATAGGTAAAACAATTATAATATTAATTTTATTCGTCATCAATTAGATCTTCATCGTGATCTATGTCATCCTCATCTTCTTCAATTATTGGTGGACTATTATTGCACCCTTCACCTGAGCACCCAGAACAAGTAGAGTTACAGTATAAACCAACTTTTCTGCACCCACATGAAACGCCGCATCCTTTTTTGCATTGGCAAAAAATAATTTTCAAAAGGTCACCGGGTGCAGGTTGTTTGTTCATGCGTACGGGTAATAACAAACCATCTTTGGAATACCATCCCCAATCTGTTGCTCTGATATTTTCATTGCCAAGCCATAGACATATGAGCAGATGTTTTATTCTGTTGTATGGGATTTCAAAATAAGAACGCTTAAAATTTCGAATGTATAACGCCCCACTACCTAATATACCGGTTTTGTAGATTATTATGCTCCGAAATGTACTGTACTATACTAATGGAATTTTCCGGAAAAAAAATTAATTGGTTTTTTTAACGTATTTCCTTCATTTTTAACTATAGAGTGTTTCTTCATAAACGATTTTTTTTAAGAGCTACAAGGATCTGTGAATTAAATCTTTTTGGAACCCTTGGTTTTTAAATAGGGTGAGTTTAAAGGGCTCAAAAAAGATGGTGCTTGATCGTAAATCGATGCTTTAAACGGCTATACCTAGCCAAATATTCATTGTACAACAAATCTAAATAAAGGAAAATTTTAGTCATTAAAAAAGCTACAATTTAGTACATTTTTTTTATATATTCAGTATTTTCGGGGATCTTTAAAAAAAAGAAGGGTAAAAAATATGAAATTGTAAATCGTTTCTCACTTTATGCTGTACTTTTTTTAAAACTAAGCATTTTAAATGGGTCAAACTTCTTAGACGTATTACCAATACATGTACAAAGAGAATTGCAGAAGGGTGAAGATCGACTTTAGTTATGGGAGTGGTTAGGAGGTTGTTTTCATCGATGTTTATGATAGGTCTATTTATGCTCTTTAAAAAAAGTTGTGTGAGTTTTCTTCCAAAAATGTATCATTTTCCCGATATTTGATTTTGAATCTTTCAAATTTGGCATTTGACGAAAACCGCTGAAAATTGATAGGCCGTATTTCGGTTCCTGTTATATCGCAAAAATATTTTAAAAAATGAATTGTATTTGTCTTTTTAAAAGCTACAAATTTGTTCTCTACAATTTTTTTGATAAAATGCACCATTTTGGAGTTATTCGCGAAAAATCGATTAAAACGTCGATTTTTCGTTTAGAAGTTGTTACTTTCAATCGCGTTACGTTACATTTACCATCGCCTATGTCTATTCCCATTCCGGATACTTGTTTCCACCACTGCTCTAGCGATGAATGAATATATATTTAAATAAGGTCAGAGATAGACAACATCCTGGTTTAAGCCCCTTTGTTATTGGAAATGATTCAAACATAAAGTTTCCTTATTTTACGACACTTCTTGCATGTTCGTATATATATTTGTGATAACATCCACATATTCTCTACTAAGACCTACTTTCGTTCAATGTTTGAAACAGGTACCGTATCGTATCCTTCTCTAAATCTACAAACAATATGTGGGTAGATAGATTACTTGCCTTCCGTTTTTCGATTACCCGCTAAAATAGGTTATAATGCCATTTTGCCCAAAGAGCAGGTTTTGAGATTATGACCTGTTTAAATTATTACCTAAGTATCATGAATGTGTTACCTGTGTGAGTTCATTTCACAAGCATTTATTATTTACCATAAAGACAAAGATATTCTCTAGAGCACATTCACTATTAGTTGGACATAATGTTATTTAATAATAAATTGGTTTAGTAATACTTACAATGAATTATTTTTCAATGACTATATTATAACTTGGTTAACTAAAACCATACATTTACTGTACACAACTCAACTAACAACTAACCATATTTTTTTTTTATGACAGAAGCCGTAAAAAAGCCGTCTATAATATAATTTCATTAACGTTTTATAGATGGAGCAAGTGATATTGAAAAAAAGTGAGTACCATGTTTTAGGCGACTACCCCGTTTTGCGTAACTTTCCCCTACATATAACGTTCAATTGGATTTGAATTGTATTATTTGAATTACGTTATCCTTTTCCTTCCTGTAACTGTATAGTACCAAGTAAAATCGATACGAACATCTGATCGCTAATAAGGGTTTCAGATAAGAAAAGATACATCGTTATCAAAAACTAAAATAAATCTGTCTTTTTATCTATACTTGGTAGCTGTTTATAATATCAGTACCTACGATGGTGAAGATAAGTGTGCAGTCAAAATGGTGCTTTAGTCAATGTGGAAGTAAAAAGAAACATAACGTGAAATCAATTTGATATTTTTAAAATGGTATTGTGAGTATTCTTGATATATCTTTCTTGTGTGAAGTTTACTAATAATGTGTATTTTTAATAATTTATGTAGTGGTGTTTTTTAATTTATTGACTTTTGTGATAAGCTTAAATGACGTTTCGATTTATAAAATTTCTGAATAGCATTTGTAGATACGGTTTTTATGATTAAATAGTCTTTATATTCAGTTATCTTTTCCCTTTAAGTGCTTTGTTCGGTCTTTCGAACGTTAGTGGTCTTTCTAACAAGATTTGTTTCATTTTTGCCATATGGAAAAGCTGTAGTAGGTGCTATTTTTCTTATCTTAGTAAGTGCCCAGACGCGCTACTTTCGTCACTTACTTGTGCTTGATCATTTTCTCTTAGTATTAGCTCTTTGAAGAACATCTGTGTTATATACATTTTCTATCCATAAAATACGAAGCATTCATCTATGTAACCACATCTCGAATGCCTCAAGACGGTGAATTGTTTCTGCTTTTAATGTTCACGTTTCATCATCATCATCATTCAGCCTCAAAAGTCTACTGCTGAACATATGCCTCTTTCTCGTGTATCCAATCTCATCTATCTGGCGCCGCTCTCATCCAGATTTTATTTAGCCTTCTTAAATCTTTAGTCTATCGTGTAAGGAGTCGATCGACGCTCTCTTGTCTTTCCTTCGTCCTCATTCCAATAAATTCTTTGTCCATAGTTTATCTGTTGTTCTAGATAGGTATCCTGCCATCTCCATTTTTGCCTGTCTAACGTTTCATGACGTCAGTCACCTTGGTTCTTTTCCTGACCTCTTTCTTTTTTATTTTGTCTTGCCTATTATTCTAACCATCGATCGCTCCATTCTACTCTTAGTTTGGTAGCCCAGGCTTTTGTTAAGGTAAGTGTTTCTATTTACATGATCGCACCACCTTTTTCTTGGTCTGTCAATACTTCTGCGTCGATTTGGTGACTTATCTCGTGCTATTCGTACTATTCTATCCTATGCCATTCTACTAACGTGTTTTTTTCCACTCCTGTTTCCGTTTTGACACCCATACATTTATGTCTTCTATATTGCATGCTCTTTTTATGTTTTTGCTACTATCGCTATCCAATAGACTTTTCTCTGATATTTGTCGGAGTATTTTCATCTCTGTTGTTTCTAGCAGTCGTCTTGTTTTAGATGTGTCAGGTTTTGTCTCTTCCGTGTATGTTAATATAGGTTCAATTGCTGCTTTATATATTCTTGTTTTTGTATCTTGTCTTAGGTGTTAGTTCTTCCAGATTATGTCATTAAGAGATCCCGCCGCTTTACTTTCTTTTAAGCTTTGTTGTCGTACTTCTTCTTTAACATCTCCGTAACTAGTTATATCTAATCCCAGGTATCTAAACCTTGCCTCCTACTTTATTATTTTTCCATCCATCCATATTGTATTGTATTTTTTGGCTGTTATATTGAAAATTAATTAGTATCAACCTGACAAGTTTTTTTGAAAAGCCAAGTTCCTGCATCGCTGTCCACAGTCTGTCCCTGCATACTTTATCAAATGCTTGTTTAAAATATATGAATATCTGACGAAGCTCACGATCAAACTCCCAGCATTTTTCCATTATCTGTTTTATTGTGAATATCTAGTTAATAGCATAGTGGTCCAGTCTAAATCCGCATTGATAATCTCCAACGATTTCTTCTGCGTATGTTTTGGTTCTTTCTAGCAGGATGTTTGCAAGGATTTTGTAGGTGGTGTTTAGGAGTGTTATTCCCCTGTAGGTAATACCTTGCTTTTTGTTTCCTTTTTTGTGTATTGGTACAATAACCCCTTCTTTCCATCCATCTGGCATTGTTTCTGGCCAAATGTCTTGAATTAGCTTGTATATAGAACTGTACAACGTTTCTCCTCCATGTTTTAAGCACTCTGCGGGTATACCATCGCTACCTGGTGTCTTATTATTTTTAAGTTTTTTAATTGAATGCACTACTTCTTCGTATGTCGGGTATTGGTCTTCTATTTTAGCTCTATGTACCTCTATGTTTGATGTATTTCTGCTAGATTGGTCACTCAATAGTTGATAGAAGTATTCCTTCCAGGTTTTTGGGATTTCCTTATCATCCGTAATAAGCTGTCCACTGGCGTTTTAAAGAAAGTTTCTTGTTTTTGCTTGGTACCCGGTCTTGATATCGGAAACTTCTTTGAAAGACTGTCTCGCTTGTTTGTTCTTTCTTTTTTCTTCTATATCTCTGATTATTTGTTCCTGATACTTACTCTTCTTCCTTTTCATTAGTTTTCTTGTCTCTGTTCTTCTTTGTCTATACATTTTATTATTGTTGTGCGAGGGGTTTTGTAGCATGTTCCTTCTAGCCATATTTCTTACTGTTATGGAGTTCAAGCAATCATCATCGAACTATATTTTTGTTGTTTTCTTTTTGCGTCCTAGTATTTTATCTGAAACGCTTGTCAGAGCTAATTTGATATTTTTCCAAGCTGAGTTTATGTTGTTATAGTCTTCTGTCTGCGTTAGAGCGATTTTTATAGCCTTTTGAAATTTCTTTTCCCCTTATTACGTAGAACTTCGGTATCTCATAATTGTGTTGGTGTATTCTTGTGTGTTTTTTTGGACGCTATTCTTGTCCTTATCTTCGCTTTTACCAGAAAATCATCCGTGTCTCCATCAGCTCCCCTTAGGCTTCTTACGTCTGGACAGTTACTATCCCTCCTTGCATCTGCTAGAACAGGATCGATCTGATTTCTTGTGACGCTGTCGTTGGAGACCCATGTTTGTTTGTGTATTTTCCTGTGTTCGAACATTGTCGAATTTACTAGTAGGTTGTGGGAGGCTGCAAAGTCTATTAACCTTGTTCTATTATCGTTGCTGGCATCGTGAAGACTATGGTTACCTATTGTTGGTTTGTGCACCGCTTCCTTCCCAATCTTTGCATTGAAATCTTCTAAGATAATATGCATGTCCTGTTTGGGTTCCAATTATTTATCAGTTCGTCTAGTTCCTCTAGTTCCTGCAGTTCCTCTAGTTTCTCTAGATCCAGACTATGTGTCAACCTTATTCTATAATTTTAACTGTTTGTTTTTCTGTTTCAGAGGGAAACAGGTGGACTTCAAGTATTTTATACTGGTGTTAATATGTATTACAATATTGGTATGTGTATATCAACAAGACAATATATTTTCTCGAATCGAAATTGGCGAAACCCTAGAATTAGTAGAGAAAAAAATCGACTTAGGAGTATTTACTATAAATACCCCTGGATGCAAAATACCATATTTTCAACCTTTTGATAAAAATATTTTAGATTATTTAGAGCAGCCAGGCACATATGTTTGTAATAATGGTACACCAGCGTTATTCGAATCAGATAGAGATTCCATAAAATTGATAGACGATTCATTACCCTTTTACAATGTAACGAATATAAATAATCTGACATGTTGTTACAAAACATTCTGGAGAGAGGATCCTGCTGATGATTCGTCAGACAATAAAATAAGCTATAGTAAAGACTGTCAAACATTTGTTAATAAAACTAAAATAGAAGAAGAGTTTATAAAAGTTACGTGTAAATACGATAATAGTGATATTTATAATGATATGTTTGTTTTCGTTTCTACAAAAAATTTGTCAGACGTAAAGAAAGATCTGAATGAAAACGATTCTAATTTAAATGTTCTAGTGATAGGCCTAGATGCCATTTCGAGATTAAATTTTCATAGACAGATGCCAAAGACAGTAAATTATTTGAAACAAATTGGTGCCGTTGAAATGATAGGATACAATAAAGTTGGAGACAATACGTTTCCCAATCTAATTCCAGCATTAACAGGACAGCATGAAGAGGAAATCAAGAAGGGTTGCTGGCCAACTGATAATCACCATTTTGATAATTGTTCGTTCGTATGGAAGGACTACAAACAAAAAGGTAATTTTATATAGTTTTTTTAATATTAATATGTTGCATATATATAAAAACAACCTTTGATTTTCTTTTTTTTATCCATTTGCTATTTGCTGCATCGTCTCTTTCTTCGTTGATTAGAACAATTAGGATCTAACTATTAGTACTTTTTCTTAACTCTTCCAGTCCCAAAGGTATATAGAAGTACCAGTAATCGAAACCATCCCGATATCCTTATATCATCCCAGATATTGCTATCATAAAGATAATAGTTTTTTAATGAATAGAAGATCCTATAAACATTTTTTAATAAATTTTAAAAAATTTAATTTTCATAATTGATGTGTTGTTACTAAAACAATATGGTACTGACCAGTACCGCTGGGATAAATTCAGAATGGAAAAAATATTAAGGCATATTATAGTAACTATATATTTCAATTATTAAGCTCATGATATTTTATGAAACAGTTCATATTTTGACAAATTTACAAAATCGGAATCTCCGAGTACTCACTATGGAAGGAAACACAAAAAATTAATCAACCATAACTTTCTAATCTGTCTATCCAGGCCAATAACGGACAATGGGCCAAAAGTAACTAAGAAAAAGCCACAGTCTTTACGAAATACCTGAAGGAAATGTTCTAACCACATACTCAAAACAACAACCCCGATGCAGAAGATAATATAAAGGTAATGTATTTTGACAAGAGCTGTGACCTTGTAAATAACAGGTAAACTTGTGTACTAAATTGGCATGACCCATAGCTCTTGTTAAAATCCATTACCTCTACAATCGTATTTAGAATCTCCATACCAACTAGAAGCACCATTGAAGAAATTCACTGCCAAACAAGTTTTCAACGAAATCCAAACAGATCTAAATCAGAAGAAGTTCCCAGGGTACGACTTAATCACTGCAAGAATTCTAAGGGGTGCAAGACCTTACTTGTTTCTTTCCAAGAAAGGGGTGCAATATTTAACACAGATTTTTATCGCAATCCTAAGAACTCCTTACTATTCCCTTTTGTGGAAATTTGCACAGATCATTTTAATACCAAAACCAGGCAAGGTTTAAACGGACAAATGAACAAGTGGAAGTATAAGGAAAAATAAAAATATCAATAGAACAAGTGAAAGAACCAGTTAAAGGAATAAAATAAAAAAATCTCTAGGCCCAGGCGGAATACATCCAGAGTTGATTAGGTATGGATCATCAAAACTGTTTGAAATGATCCGATAATTATTCGAAAGATGCTTAAATCTAGAAGTTTCACAAGAATGGGGACAATCGTATATCTATCCAATACACAAGAAAGTCGGATCCTAAAAACTATAGAAGCATCGCAGTGATTACTACTATAGACCGACTATACTCAAAAGTACTACGAAACCTGATAGAAAATAATATTAAAGACAAACAATCCGAAGAACAAGTGGGATTTAGGGCCGAACGCTCCACTATGGATAATATTTTCACATTAAAAATTGCGATGGAAAAACGAGAGAAATAGAGAAACCCATATAGCTTTAATAGATTTGGAAAAAGCATATGACAGTGTACCGATCTCCCAACTATGGATAGAAATGGGTAACTTGAAAATAAACTTAATTGTTATTAACGCCACTCAAAAATACTACGAACAAAACTTTGCAAGATGGGACAAGAAATCACCTCTCCTTTTCAAACAACAAAGGGACTAAGACAAGGCTGATGTCTGTCACCCACCTTATTTAAAATCTAATTCGGCAGATCCTTAGTGAAATAGGTATAATATGTAGAAACATGGGAATAACGGTGGAAGAAAATAAGCTATATACACTTTTCTTTGCGGATGACCAGGTAGTAATTGCCGAAGACAGCTACGATTTTAGCTATATGGTAAGAAAACTGCAAGAAGAATATGTTGTGGCAAGTCTAAACATAAACATGACAAAATGTGATTATCTCTCAGTGGGAACAGATGAAATATGTGACCTAGTCTTGGAAGACGACAAAATCAAAGGCGTGCAATCCTGCAAATATTTCGGGGTCATTTTCAACAAGAAGGCAAATAGCGCAGATGAAATCAAGGAAAGAAGTAGAAATCGTAGTAATCTGATTTTTATGGTTACTGATAAATCGTGGCATTTGAAATCTAAACCATTTTTTGAAATAAAGGTCTTTCTTTCTCTATCCTACTTTTTATTTCTAGGGAATGGTCCCAACTTTCATTGACGTTTGTACCAATGCAGGTGTATGTTTTTACCATTTCTATTGGTTGATCATTCACACTGATTCTTTCAAGATTCTTTCTTAAAAATAACCATACATTGTGTTTTCTTAATGTTTAGTGAAAGTCCATATATCCGACTTCTGTGATTCTATTATGCATAAACCATAACCAGTATGGCAAAAAATAAAAAAAATGTTTGTGAACATTTTGTGAAAATGTTTGTGCCAAAAATCTTGTAAACTGATAAATTTTATCGTGATTATCACAATATAGTAATTATTTTTGTTATATTAGCTTGCCCAATTTTTAGCTATATTAAGAATAATTTGTAGTAAAGGGTTGATTGTAAATAGTTGAAGGTTTAAATAATCAAAACATAATATTTCGTTAAATATAAATTTAACAAATTATTGCTTATAAATTATAAGCAATAATTCATAGGCTAACATTTAGATCATTTGAGCCGCTTACCTTTTATAAAAAAAAATCTGTTATCTTTATCAAACAAACTTATCGAGATTAACCTGATTTTTTATATAAAATGGTTTTAATCTTGTTTTAGTTTAATTCCACAATAAGTAATTATGACTATCGTTGTAAATAATATATCTTCATAATAAATAATTTTTTCTTCAAACGTAAAATAATGATGACATTACTTATCTAACTTTATCCTGTCAAAATTTGATGTCTCCGCCGGCAGCAGTTTTTTTCTCATTTCTTTACGGCGCGGCGGACGGAAAAATGTTGTCATGGCAACAATATAAAACATGTCACAAAGCAACAATACAAATGTCATTAACAACAATTAAACATCATTTTTATTTATAGTAATATTAAAAGTACAATTAGTTAATGAGGCATTTTCAAAATTGAAACCGTGCAAAAATTTTCCCGACTCTTGATACGCATTGGTAATTGTTGATGATACTGATGGTCGAGAACAACTTTCAGCAATTTTTCCCGATGTGGGCGAATCATAAGGGTTTAAAATTGTTTGAGCATTATCGTTCTTATTTCTTATTGAAACCTCTATATATCCTTCGGTAACCGTGCTTGATTTCCAGCCCCCATGTCGTTTGAGGCATTCTTGATTTCCGCCTCCATCAAATAAAAGTGTTGCTGAAGTTCGTCGTAAAGAGTCACCCGTGTATGCGCTTGCATCGTTTAAATTTAAATAACTAACTACTTTTTGGGCTACTGCGCTAATCGAATGTATTCCCATGACGCTTCGGTAACACTTTCCTTTTTGGTACTTGATAAAAATCGGTTTTCTGTGAAATTTTCAGGCCGCAGTGATGCATACTTTTTATACAGTTTAATGTAGTTTTGACCAATTATCGTAAAAGATCTAATTTGTCGTGTTTTACTGTCTGGGATTTTGATAATTATTACATTTTCTTTATCATCAATGTCCACAGTCTTCATTTTTACCATTTCGTCGCATCGACAGGCGCCGGTAACCTTACTACATGCTTTGCAATATAATTTTTTTTACCTTTAATCCTAAATACAACTTATCTGGCGCTTCAAACAAAAATTTATCAAACTCGTCTTTAGTGAAAACTTTAGCATTCTTTGCAGTATATCCTTTGCTTGTTTTTTTCAGAAAGGCACGTAACTCAATAAAAATTTGCTTATATCCACATTTTTTCTAATAACTAACTCGGATTTTATCATAGAGTATCGTGACCACATTGTAGAAGATTTCCATTTATTTTCATTTTCCATTATATTAAAATATGCCAGTAAAACGTCTTCGGTAACTTGCCGTACTCCTCTTGTATCGCACCACTCTTGGAAGTGCTTGTACGCTAACCGTTACTTTATTCCGGACTTGGAGGGCCCCAAACGTGCTACTGCATCATTAGCCGCGGACTCAATTTCGTTTAGGTTTTCCATTTTCGCACTAAAGTTGCGCTTGCGGTTGCCACAACAATAAGCTGTCTTTAATAATTGCAAACAACTGTCAAACAACTGTAACCAGGGAGACGCAAATCCCACCAACGAATTAATTATTTTAATTTCTAACATCTAGACGACTTTGATAGTTGTCACAGTTAATTTCGAGTAAAAATAGCGTATGAATTGTACTATTTATGGTTGAAAATTGCTACGGTTGAAGAAAAAATAGTATACTTTATTCGGCAAAGAAGCGATTTGTCTTGCCTTGCCCTCTATTACGCGCCTCACTTCATTCGGTGCGTAATATCGGGCGCGTCAAGAAAGTCATGCTTCTCCGCTTCATAAAGTAATATACGATTATTTCTATTTATTCATATTAAACAAAACAAGACAAAACTTTATTTTAGTGAGTGACTTAAGAATTAGTGAAAGATTATTAGTGAAAAGGTTTTTGTTTTTTAACATCTTAAAACCTTATCCGGACAAGGTGGGACCAACGGGCCCGGGACGCCATTTTTTTTATAATAAAAAAACATTTATTGAATATTATGCATCACAGAATTTATTTAGAAGTAGGTTTCCTTCAACATAGTCATGAGCTATCATAAGGTTAAAAGGAATTCAGCGACAAAAACCAAAAACCAATGTACTTAACTTTAAATAAAAGCCATCAGAGAACAACTAGAAGATCCAGAAAAACTATGGAGTGAATTTAATCCATTAGCGCTCAGTGGCAACTTTAGTTTCCAGTGACTTTCAACACCCGTAAAAGCTCTTGTGTATTGTATGTGACCTATTTTTAAGTGGTATATAATTTTTAGCGTGTCCACATATATTTATAACCTACAAATTTGCTTGTAAACTTGTTAGGTGCTCGTTAGTATTTATTTCAATATTAGAGTTTTGCAGCAACCAAACTTAGTCCTAAACAATGTAAGTATTTTTTAGTTAATTTATAATATTTTGTGTTCATACTGAATTCATTTTAAACCAAAGGTTTATTATATATACTGATCTAAGAAAATTAATTGTTCATTGAATTATAACATATTTATGGCACCATAAATTCACGTGGCAACTTTAGTTGCCACCGAGCACTAGAATGATTTATTTTTTTCTTTTAGGTCTGAAGGTCATGCGTTTAGCGTATATGAAATTATGAAACCTTGTGAAGAAAATTACGGATCAAGTTTTTTTTAGAAGAATCAGGTCTGTAGGAATAGTTCCTCCTATAGAATCTGCTGAAGCTGAAACTGAAGATTAAGATTAATTAGATGACGAAACTGAAGGAAATCCAAATCATATACCAGGCAGAATCCTCAGATCGGAAGCGATTGTTGAGTTGGATAAGGAAATTGTTGAGAATCATTCAAACAGTACAGTAAATATCTGTTTGGATGAGAAAAATATTGATTTGCCACAGCCAGGTACTTCAAAACCTATTGGAAATAAAAAGCGAAAAGTAATTGCATCTTCAAACAGTGTTTGGTCTCAAAATAAAAAAAACAGTTGGAATTTACCTGCCGGTACTATAATTCTGGCCCATCGATTATAGAATTTTTGAAAAACTAAGTAAATTCTCCACTTCAAGGTTTCAAATGCTTTTTTACTGATGCTCTAATTAAACATATCATTACACAAACTAATCTTTATGCCGGACAAAAGGGAATGCATAGTTTAAATGTAAGTTATGATGAAATTTCTGTCTTCTTGGAAATAATCTTATTATCTGATTACCACCAACTGCCGAGTAAGCGGATGTATTGGCAAAATGAACCTGACTGCAAGGTAACTATAGTTGCAGAAGCAATGCGAAGACGTCGATTTGAGGATATATGACGGTATCTCCATCTAAACAATAACTCGAAGAATAAACACTGACAAGTTTTACAAGGTCCGCCCTCTGTTTGATTATCTAAATAATTCATTCAAGGAAGTACCAGTTTAAAATTCAGTTGCTATAGATGAGAGCATAGGCCCGTATTATGGACGTCATCCTACAAAATAATTTATACGGGGCAAACCTATTCGTTTTGGGTTTAAATTGTGGGTTTTAGTAAGCCCTAATGGATTTGTGTCTGACGCCAAACCATACTGCGGTGCACATACAAAGCTTCCTGATACTGGACTCGGACAAGGAGGAAATGTAGTACTAGGACTTGCTGAATATGCCAAAGTTCCTAGCGGGACTAAATTATATTTTGACAATTTATTTACTTCTGTGTCCTTACTTGAAGAACTGTCTAAACGAGACTTGTGAGGAACTGGAACATTGAGAGAAAATAGAATAGCAAAGTGGATGAATTTACCTCCTAAAGAATCTTTCAAGAAATGTGACAGAGGGACGACACATTCCACATCTAATGGAAAGCTAACAGCCATTAGATGGAATGACAATGCTGTTGTAACAGTATTATCAAACTGTCACACAGAAGTGCCGTTTAAAAATGTTCAGAGGTTTAGTAAACGTGAAAAAAAAAGAAGATGATGATTAAAATGCCTGATTTCATTTCCCACTATAATTCTAATATGGGAGGTGTTGACCTAAATGATCAGTTCACTGGTCAATATAGATGCAAAATTCACAATAAAAAATGGTGGTGGCCACTCTATGCTTGGTCTGTGGATGAATGTTGTGTTCAAGGTTGGCTTCTATATAGGCTTCTAGGTCACGAATTACCATACTTGCAATTTAGAAGACAAGTAGTACTACAGCTTCTTACAAAATATGGATGTTCTCCAACTAATCCCGGGCCGCATACATTGTTTTCCACTTCCGCTGTTTTAGAAGATCTAAGAACGGACAAGAAAAATCACATTATCGCGAAAGGAGACTCAAAGTACCGCAGATGCAAAATGTATCAAAGAAGAACAACATACTTGTGTAATAAATGTAATGTGCCCTACATGTGACTTTCTTTGAAACTTTCCATAATATGTATCTCTAGTTTTGTTAAAGCACGATTAGTTTTTAATACATTTCTATTACATAGAAAATTTTTGGTTATTACCAAACCGTAAGCGCTCAGTGGCAACTTAATTTGCCAATCATTTTGACAACCTTTTGACAGACCTTGATTTTTTTATGTATTTTTTAGTAAATATGTAACACTATTTGTAATAAAATCTATAAAAAAATTAACAATTTTCAAACTTTTTTAGTTCTGAGCACTAATGGGTTAAAAACAAAGTTAACGAAATCTTCAGAAATAATGATTATCGAAAAAACTTAATCAAGAAAAATAATTTTGTGCTCTGGCCCTTCTTAGCGTTTGATATACGAACCTTAAGTTTTGTTCTTACGAGGTAGTGGTCAGAGTCTATATTAGCACCTCTACATGCTCTTACATCTAGTAGACTGTACTGTACTCGAAATATGCATCCATATTATTTATTCTGGAAACTGTGTACCTTAGCGGCCATACTTGAAACTAGCGGAAATTTGAGACAAATTTATAAAAATAAAAACTGATTTCGATAAATAAATTTGTCATAAACGACATTTTGATACATGATATTTACTAAAACGCAACCATGACCGTAATTCTGGACGACAAATTAATAACGGATATATAAAGTTACTGAAATTCGGTCATATTATGAGACACCTGAAATTCGGTTCATATTATGAGACACCCTAGAAAACTATGATCTTTACATCTGATCATTCAGGGACGATGATCCAAGGATAAATCGTTGCGTCCTGGGTAGGAAAAAGAACTTCATGGCTTGAAAATTCTACAGGCAATGGTCTGGAAATTCAACTACATCGTTAAAATAGAGCTGCTGTCAATAAACGTCACGATAGCGATATATGGTAGCCATCAATGATATCCAAAGATCGATAACTGGTCCATGGACTAGAGAAGTAGAAGATAATGTTAAACAAGGAGTCGACAAGGGATAGAAAAACTAATGCGTTATGTCAAGTAGCAACATGATGATCTCAATAAAGTCACGATAGCGAATATGGTAGCCAACATGATATCCAACGATCGATAATGGTCATGGAACTAGAAGAAGAAGATAAAAGTTAAACAAGGAGTCGACAAGGCGATAAAATTTCACCTAAACCGTTTACCCTGACCCTCGAAGACATAATAAAATCACAGATTGGGAAAACAGAGGAATATCACCTTAACCGTTTACCCTGACCCTCGAAGACATAATAAAATCAACAGATTGGGAAAACAGGGAATATGTATTAACGGAAAATACCTAAATCACCTTAGATATGCGGATGATATACTCATGATCTCCTCGGAACGACAAGAACTGGAATTAATGCTGAATGAACTTCATGAAAAATCACTGCAAAAAGGCCTAACAATTAACATCAACAAAACAAAAGTAATGACAAACACAGAAGACCAAGAGGCAATAAAAATACAAAGAGAAAAAATAGAACAGGTTAATGAGTATGTCCATCTAGGACAAGCAATTAGAGCTAACAGAGAAAATCAAACAGCCGAAATATCGAGACGAGTAAGAATGGGATGGGCAACGTTCGGCAAACTTTCTTACGTTCTAAAAAATCAAACAATTCATCTATACTTACGAAGCAAGGTATATAACTTCTGTATAATACCGGTGCTCACCTACGCAGCACAGACATGGATATTTACATAGGCCAATTTGGATAGGATAAGGAAGGCACAAAGAGCGATGGAGAGACAAATGTTGGGTATATCAAAGATAGAAAACGTAACCATTGGATCAGAATCAGAACAAAGACAGTAGACGCGATAGAACAAGCAGCAAAACTGAAATGGAAATGGGCTGGACACAATGAACGCCTCCAAGACGGACGATGGAAGAATGCCATCGGAAAGTGGCGTCCATACAATGCAAAGATATCAAGAGGCAGACCACAGATGAGGTGGAAAGATGACATTAGGAAACAAGGAGGTCCCACATGGCAGAGAACAGCTCAAGATAGGGAAAGATGGAGAGAACTGGGGGAGACCTATATCCAACAATGGAAGGATAGAGAATAGGTTAAAAAAACGACATTTTACGTTCTCTTTCCGTTACTCTATTAGTTATAAGCTAAGATAAAGCCTAGGGTTATTGGGACACCTTGTACATAAAGATTAGAATATAGATCATTCCGTTTTATTAATCGATTTTAACTGTTATTTAAAAATTATATAAAATTTTAAAGAACTATTTTTTTAGGTTATGTAACAGCTTTTGACGAGGACTCATCATGGATGGGAATCTTTAACTATCAAAAGAGAGGTTTTAAAAAACAACCAACGGATTATGGCTATAGTTATTTTGATAGAGAGGCTACAAGCGAGATAGGAAATATTCACTTTGGAAATGTTAAACTTTGTCTAGGAGCAAGGTGGGTATACAAAGACCATTTAAAATATATGACCAATTTCATTCGAACAATGAAAGATAACTCATTAAAGTATTTCGGTTTCTTCTGGGAGAATACTATATCTCATGATAATTTAAATTTACCTAGAGTAGGCGATGATGATTACTATGATGTGTTTAAATATTTACAAGAAAGGATCATCTAAATAATACAGTTCTCTTCGTTATGAGCGACCATGGGATTAGATGGGGAGGAATAAGGAGCACATTTCAAGGAATGATGGAAGAAAGATTACCGTTCTTACATGTGTATCTTCCAGAATGGTATAGACAAAAGTACCAACAACATTACAGTAATTTACAAAAAAATTCGATACTTCTAACAACACCCTTTGATTTACACGCGACTCTTGTTGATTTATTAAATATAGAAAATATTGATAATAATAATAGTAGTACCAATACGTCCAGAGGTGTAAGTTTACTAAGAGGAATTAGTGACAGTAGAACATGTGAAGATACAGGCATTGTCAGTCACTGGTGTACATGCCAAAAAAGTATAGAACTTAATGTCAATGATAAAACTATAAAGACTGTAGCTGATTTCTGCGTTAACTATATTAACGATCTACTGTCTGCACATTCTAAATGTGCAGATTTAAAGTTAGATCGCATATTGAGTGCAAGAGTGATGGAGCATAGTAAAGAAATAACAGGAGACTATCAGGTATCAGATTACATGTTAAGTTTTACAACAGTTCCTGGAAATGGTTTATTTGAAGCTACCGTAAGATATATGTCAGAGGCTAAAAGTTACAGTATTGTAGGTTCAATTAGCAGGTTAAATTTATACGGCGAACAAAGTGCTTGCATTTCAGATTATAAGTTAAAATTATACTGTTTTTGTACCTGATATAATAAAATTTATAAATATATTTGTACACTTATTATAACCCAATATTCACATTCTTTTAGATCATTAAAGCTTTACCATTAAAGATCATTAAATCTTATAGTGGCTTCCCACGATCGGCAATTCTACAGATCATCGCGGACAGCCGATCAGCACGGACGCCAACGCACAGCAGACAGAGCTCTTCCTACGGTCCGTGACAGTCTGTGTAGGTCCGTGTCAGTAGTGTTTGATTATATCATAAAAAAGCCACTCAGGCTTGTAAACATCATCAGCCCCACTACCAGTTCCCATCGATTCTCTAACTTTTTTTTTTGCCTTCTGTATGTCGACATTAAATTATCTCTCTTCTTTTTTAATTCTTTAATCGAAATAGTAATATTCTTCAATTGATTTTTTATTCGGTTACATGCATCGTATGCATCGTTCCGGTTCTTATCAGCTGGCGCCGTGGAATTCCATAAACTGTTCATCTGAGACAAATTTAAAAAATCAAAAACAACTTCGTTTGTCCATTCCATTTTCAGCAAAAAACTGCAAAACAACTTTGACAACACTACAGACAACTACTCGTGTCAGCGAATGAAAAAACTTCTGACTTGCACTTGTCGTCTGTTAAAACACAGACGCGCTAGGATCGCGTCGCACGAGCATGTACCGCACCTTTGATGTTACCGACTCTAGATGGATAGGACGGACCAGCACGGACGGCCTGCGTTACCACGGCGCGATCGGTGCGTGGTGCTGCGTCCGCTTAAGTCTGCAATATCGCCGACCGTGGGAAGCCGCTATTAGAGACTAAAGAAAAGTGTAGGACTAATAATGGAGCCTTGAAGGATACCGTTTTCTTCCTCCTGCATTTTGGAATAGTAGTTGTTAACTCTTACATGAAAAGATTGTTTTCTAGAAAGTTCATGATAAAATGAAGACAATTTTCACGAATGTTCCATGACTGTAAGTTTTTTAAAATGTTAAATCTCCAACATGTATTAAATCAGTCGCCTAGATTCAAAACCCGACAAGTCCAGGTAAATGAGATTTGAGATAATGAAGAAAAACTTGTAAAATCTATATCCTATTAAATTAAACAGACCTTTTTAAAAAAATTGACGCTTTTGATAATAATACATAAAAAAAACACTTTGAAAAAATCTAGGGGCCCCCAGAAACAAGTCATTGTATGATAAAATTTTGGATATGTCGGGGTTGCAGATGAATTTAATATTTTGAAAAGAAAAGAAAATCGAAATCTATTAGAAAAATAAGTTTATTACTCAACAACGCAAGATAACATTTATCCTCTATTTTATATTGCAAAGCTAACTGTTTCTGCTTCGCAATTATCTTCCTCTTCGTTTGCCTCACTGCCTTGTCCCTCCTCTATAGCTTCGTGGAATACTTCTTTGAAAAAGACCAGTTTATTTCTATCTCGCCATCCCTTTCCGTAGTGTTTCTCCAATAGCTTAGTAATAATTTTTTTTCTTATCTTCTTTAATCGCTATCCCAGCCTTCAGTGTTCTTGGACTAATTTGTGAGACTTTTTTCCCTCTTTTGCATAAGCTTTTGGGTGTGCATAAGTCAGTTTTGTAAAATGCCTCACCCTTTATAATTGGTACTGTGTGTCCTCCTGTAATGATTACTCTCTTCGACGGTTAGAACTTAAAATGCCAATAGCCTGGTTGTTTTATTACTTTTTGAGTTTCAGCCTTCCAGTCCTTAATTGCAACACCAGTTCCAGCTCTGTAAACAGCGGCAAACTTTTTGATTAACTTTACATATTCATCAGAATGAACAATTACCGTGTGTTTTTTATAAATTCTTTCAATTTGTCCAAACACACGATCAGGGGAATATAAGAATGCCCCACAACGGGAAACACTATCTCAATTTCCTTTATTTGTCTTGGAGCTTCAACTGAAGCCAATAGCTCAGCATGGTGATGACCGTGAAATTTTTATTCTGTGCTCCACACCCATCGCAAATAAGCCGAAGAACACGTACATTATCCACAAAATTAAAATTTGAAAGGAAGTTGGTGCAAGAACGACGATATTTCGTTTTAACTTCCATGATGGTCCAACTCCGTCCAAACATATGACGTAACATTTTCTGGAGTTAATTTACTTTTTAAAGTTCCACAGGTAATAAAAATTAAGTTGTATACTGAAATAAGCCGACTGATCCAGAAGTTTTGGTAGCGCCAAATTCTTCTGACAATAAAATGAAAATGTGACCACGTCTTCTCTTTCTTCTTGAAGAAGTCTATAGAAACTCTCACTTATTACTTTGTGGAGACGTTGTTGTGCTTCCAGACTAGTTTTTTTTCTTCGTCAGTCTCGCCTTTTATGCTGGATTTGTACTGTAAACAAGTTGAACACTAATCTGTCTTCGGAGTTCCAAAGCCAAGGTTAAAATTTTTGTTAAAATAATCTCTAAAGAAACATTTTTTTTTATTTACAAATTCGCATCAACCCGAAGGTTATTAGCGAGAATCAGATTTACAATATTAAATATATTATATATTAACAAAATTAATAGCTTTTAAGTAGTAATATTAACATATTTGTGAATAAACAATTTGCACCAAGTGCTTTCTCTAAGTTTATTGAGATACCATAAGTAATTCTTGCTGTGAAGAAAACTGGACAGTCTACAACAACTGTTTACATTGTTGTCAAGTCATCACTTGAGAAAGGCAATCAGCCGAAACAGCTGTAGTGATAAGATTTAAAATAAATTTTGTGGAAGTTTGAAAACAAAGATTTTCAGTGTTTTATTGTTACATAAAATGAATTTCCATCAAGTGACGGTCGAATCCATCAATTACTAACAGGAGAATTTTACTGTCATTATGTCATGTGTTTGTCTTTTTAAAGACGAATACATGCTATGTTGTTTTTTTTCTGACGGATATTCTCAAGTTAAAGTTGATTTCATGTAATCGAATGAACTATCTTATAAGTAAAGTTGTCCCAGGAGCGCAACTCAACAATATTGGCAATATCATTTTAAAGTCGTCTACTTTAAAATGCATAATGTATGTCTGAATTGTCAATATAAATGAGTCAGATAAAATTAAATTATTAGAAAAATTTTTCACTATGTAACAAAAAACAAAATTTGTTTAATTTACTGTTTGTATTTTGAGAACGATTTCCAAAGTGGAAATTGAAACGTCAATAAACGTATTTTTATCTTTAATTGTGGCTTATTCCCAGTTAAATAGTAATTAATTCAATGTTAGTATTAACACGAAAAACATTTGCAACTAAAGATTTTTTGACAAGTGTCATAACGACAAGAAATTATTGTCATGTACTCGTTCATTTTTAAAAATGTTAAAATATTTGGAATTATAGTTTTTTTGGGTGTTTAAATTTGTTTCTTGGAGACATATTAGTTCGGTAGAGAATTCAAAAATAAGTTTTTGTAAGGTTGGAAGTCGATGGAAAAATCCATCTATATTCCATTACAGAAGTTTAGTGAATTATATTATATACAAAATATATGAATTTATGGGTTAACCTGTGATGACTCGCCCTCGGATTCAGAGATGTCGTTAACTAAGTGTTGAAGAATTTTTTTTCTTAAGAAGGTGATATAATGTTTGGTTGATCCATTTTTTAATTGCGGATGAACTAATCCCAAAAGGTCAGAAGTAAACTCTTGAATGTTAGAAGGATCTTCCATACCGACGACATTGCTTAGAAGTAAATTTAATTCGTCAAATTGGGAACCAAATGTGGATAAATGATTTTGGATAAAATCTTTGGCAAGCTCAAGGTCATATGAATTTGTTGATTTTATACATTTATGCTCCTCGTTTCTTTTAACCTTCTTGACTCTAGGTTTGAATGTAGGTACAGCAAATGAGTTTTCTGTATGAGTTGTTTCTGGAGACGTAAGATCATTACTAATACTACGTCTCAGCTGAAGATCGATATTAATTACTTTGCAGCTTTCCATGGTGTTAACTTCTCCTTGACCATTAGCAGTGTTAGGATTGCTCAGATTATTTGCTAATTTTTCTTGGACGGACATTTGTTCGTTTGATATGGATGTTGCAAGTTGAGGCATGATGTCAAGGAGGAAGGAGTAGTAGGTTGACTGTTATTAGAATCAAATAAATTGGTTGTTGATTTCAGTTTATCGGGATAGTTGGTGGCGATATGTCCAGACTTTTTGCAGTTAGAGTCTGCGGTAGAGTTTTGCAGTTTGCAGTCCAGACTTTTTGTAGTATAAGAGGCCATAGTTTCTTGAGATAAGAATATTCGATATGTTGTATGATCGAAGTCTAAAGTGAATGAGTCTGGTAAAGAGATATTGTATGGACTGACGTATATTTGTCTTCTGAAACTCAAAATATGATTGTATTCGGGAAGGGTGGAACTGATTTTTAGAAAAGTGACAGGAGAGACCATAAGTCCAATACTTTGTAAATAATCAACTAACAGACTGTATGGTATTGTTGGACATACGTTTGAAAAAACAATACATTCGCTGGTGAAATAAGTCTTCTAGCTTGTACAATTATGTTCTAGATTTCTATTATCTCTATGGTTTTGTATGAGTTCGTCCTACGATTTGTTTGTTTGCAAGGTACATGTGAATTCGATTACAAAGGTTTACAAAAAAAATATTTTTTAAATTGTTTGGAATTTCATAACTAATTTTTATGTATTTTTCAGCGCTGATTGCAAAAATGCAATCCATTTTTTTCTATCACGTAAGGTTTTCTCACAAAAAAAGGAATTACTTTTTGGTATAATAACAAAATTTTAGCAATTTTTCAAATTTTTCTTAAGGTAAAGGATTTTATTTCATGTATAATACATGTTATAAACTACATATCTAGTAGTACACTTACATTTCCCTTTAAGCTCATAAGTCCTTATAGTAACGTTTTTGCTTTCCGTCGAAGCTTCTT